CCGAGTTTAGCGACGAATTTTTATTACAGTGTATCTCCAATTACAGACCACTATGATAAATCTGACAGATTATAAAATTGAAAAAAAATGTTGGGCTCACTGAAACGAGCTTCACGAAGAAAATTTTCATAAAATTCATGATTTCTCCGGGCCGTTAGAATTGGTCTTACTCCCCCAAGACCCAGAAGTCTTTTAATGGAGTTTTTTTGCTCGAATTGCTATAATAGCTGTCTTTTTAAGTAACAACAACAACAGCATTGTTACCTGTAAAAGAGGGGATAACAAGTTTCCCATTCTTCCATCGTGGTTAATCAACATAATGGTTAAACTAATTTCAAAATTCCATAAAATTAAAATTATGTTGACATTTTATTAAAACAATCATATTGCGCATATCCCGTAACCGGCACGGAAGTCGGCACGGACGTCAAAGTTTGCAGCTTGCGAGGTTTCACGCGCACTTCAACTCGTTTGCCAGCTCGAGATTTTATTCTGAACGGCTACATTGAAATGCGAAAGGTAAGCACACGTGGCCAAGTCAGACTTCGCCCGCGAATTGATTGTGAATGGGGTTTAATCCAGAACTGGCATGTGGCAGACACTGCCTCAATGTCAGATCACCGCTGGATAAACTTTAATATTAATCTTATCAAAACTCCTCAAAAACCATTCCGGGATCCCCGAGGAACTGACAGGGATAAATACCTTTGTCACCTCCGGGAGAACCTGGCAGCGGTACAAGATCAGGAGCTCAGAAACAATGGAGAGATTGAGGTATTCGTGAATACTGTACAATCTGCCATAAAAAGAGCCTTTATAACATCCTGCCCCCTCAGATCGGTTAGGCAAACCGGCGCAACCACGGGTTGGTGGAACCGGGAGCTGAGCGAACTGAGGAAGAAGGCCAGGATATCGTTTAACAAGGCAAAAATGACAAGACAAGACTCAGACTGGGAAATATACAAAACCCACCTGAGACTTCAAAAAATTGGTCAGGAAAAGACAAAGGGATGCATGGAGAGCCTATTGCGAGGAGATTGAAGACTACTCGCAGGCTGCTAGGCTATGTAAGATCCTTGCAAAAGAGAAAGATCATGATATAGATCTATTAACCAGAGAGGATGGCGCGAGAACCGCCAATCTAAATGAAAGTCTGGAACTGCTGATGCGGACCCACTTCCCGGGATCCACATCAATGGAACGGGAAGTTTGGCCAGACGAAATTGAAAACCCACCTGCAGTCTTGGATTGGCAGATTGCCAACCAAACTGTAACTAAGGACAAAATTAGATGGGCAATGCAGATCTTCTCACCCTTCAAATCACCAGGCACTGACGGTATATATCCAGCCCTCTTACAAAGGGGGTTGGATGTTTTAATGCCGCACCTGGAGCGGATGTTTAGGCTGTGTTTTGCACACCTTTACATTCCAAAGATCTGGAGGGAGGTAAGGGTTGTATTCATTCCCAAAACAGGGAGGCTGGATTATACCTCCCCAAAGGCGTATCGACCCATCAGCCTGACCTCGTTTCTGTTGAAAACGATGGAAAAGCTGTGTGAACGATACATAAGGGATAGTGTGCTGTTGGACAGACAGCCACACCCTAATCAACATGCATACACTCCNCCTCCCTACCCCCAGTGTTGGAACGTATGTGATAAAAAAGGTAGACTGTAGAAATATTGCCCCCTAATTTCGGGACACCCTTAAAGTGTAGCGAAATTCGGCCTAGTATGCTTTGCATACATATTTGTTTGCTTGTTTGTTTTATAATTTTTCTAGAATATATTCTTTATTTTACTATCATGTTCTTAGAAGTTTACAGATTAATCTATATTATTCTTAGAGAGCCATGGGAAGTTTGAGAAACAAAGAAAACTATCGGTATAAACTAATGTGCAAAATATCTTTTTGGAAGGTTAAGTTCACATTTGTTACTTATTAATACGTACCACCACCACATCTGTTAATAATGCTCATAAACTTTAACATTTACTAGGCTTAAAACACAGTGGTACTTACCACTACAGATCTTTGCTTCATTTTGTATCCATGACCACACATTCCATTTGTAGCGTTGCACGAACTCCAATTACTCCAGGGTGTCATTTGGCAATCAATTTTTAAATCCATTGGTTGACTTTTACCATCTAAATGCCTAGGCGATTTTTGACCCACATTAGCTAAAAGCAAGTAATGTAAAAGTTATATTAGTTATTCAAGACATATTACCACATCTATTACCATGAACAGCGTCGTTTTGAATGTTGTATGATAGTACTCCAGAAACAGTAACGTCTAATTGCTTTTTTGTTGATGTTAAGTTAGCAATGAGTTCCCCTGTAAAGCAATATATTTTATAATTATTAATTGAATTAGTAATTGCAAACAATTTAGTTCTAAGATTTTCTATTTCAAGTCTCGGTTATCGTTCTGTTTATTTTATTTCATTAACGCTATGTTCTTTATTTCCAGAAACCTATGCGTGCATTAACCCAAAAATAAATAAATTATACAGTTAATTTCCATATTTGCTTTATTGCTTTATTTGTATTAGAAAATTGCTTTATTTTTATTAGAGCAAATAAAAATGCGAACAAATGGAACTGTCATTTTCATTCATTTAATTTTGTAAATTTTTCTCATACATCCAGATTTTTTAAACTACAACTATAATTTTCGTGACACATTTACAAAGGATTTACCTACAAGTTTACTGGGTTCTATTAAAACCAACAGATATATTCTGCAAGTAGTTGTCGAGTTCTATAGAGACTTGCTTCATTCATTCTCATTACATTGTAGCCAGTAATTGAATTTTATTTTTTATTATAGGTAGAACTGTTTTTTTATGTTTCTGTGTAAATTTTATGTGGAGTGTAAATATTGTTTTTAAGGAAGTTTTAAGTTCCATTTCTATTAAAGAAGCCTATTCATTTATCGTTAAAACAAAAATCATATTGAATACATTCTTTTATGCACGTACTTTTACTGTTAAAGCATTTTGAAGATTTCTAAATCATTTAAAGGGATTTGGGTTATGGAATGAGATACCAGTCCGATAAAATTGGAATAATTTGCAGTATTTGATGACTGATAATATGTCGTAGACATACTTAACCTATTCTTTTCCGTTTTGAAGTTATCGATGAAAAATTGAAAATTTTAATTTTCCATTTTATGTTTTTAACGTTCTTAATTAAATACTGAAAAAAGTGGACACTTTGACCTTACCTACTACATTATTGAGATTTTTTATGAATATTGAATATGGAATCATAGTTAGTTGTGTCACCTATCAGACCAAGAAACAACATTCAATTTTTAATTTTATTATGGACACATTATTGTATTTTAGCTTTTTTCTAATTACGATGATTATAGTTTACTTTGAAAAAATGCAATTATACATTTTTACCAACAGAGTTATGAAAACAAAACATGCTCTTATACCTCAAATGAAATTTTTATAGTTGGTAAAAATATTCTAATAATGCTTTTATTTAAAAAAATAAAAATAGTAATTGATGTTTTCAGATTTTCATCTACAGGGAATCGCCACTATCGACATCTCAGACAGTACTGATCCGATAAATAATATGAAAATTTGGCAACCTAGCAAAGGTAATAGGTCCAACACAGCTAAAATATTTATAACTTTATACAGGGAGTCGAGATTAACTTGTTATTTTAAATGGGACACCCTGTATATTATTGCATTTTCGGATACTACGTGAAATTTGAGTGTCACTTTATTAAATATTCCCTCTACCTAGAAGTTATAGATTTTGAGAGATTAATTTTTGAAGAAAAAAATTGACAGATGCAAGAATCCGAGGAGAATGCGGAGATGCTAGTAACTCTTTTCAGGAGCGTGATATCAAGTGGGTTTTTGGTATCTGTAAAGGGCATAGGTAACACTAAACCATGGTATACCAACAAATTAAATCATTTAATACTATGTGGTTCATTTTGCTGTTACATTTTGATAACTTTAAACAGCTACATCTTTGTTAACTTAAATGGAACACCCTGTCTTTTTTTTACTCCGTTGTATGCAATTGAATTTTCCTTTCAAGCCACATACGCATGGTTAGGGTTGCCGTTACTGCTTTTATAGATATTTGCAATTTTCATTTTTTGGGCAGTTTTTCTCGTATCAGACCTGTTATCAAATTGGCCATGACCAGAAACACTCCAAAAACAATTAAAATAATTTGACATCAAATTATTGTTGTGTCCGTTTTTGACGAAATTTAAATAAAAATGCCTCTTAAATTATACTAATGAGGATTATTTTAATTTGTTTGTTATTTATGGACAATGTGACAAAGTAATTTCAAGAACATGTAGAGAATTTGCTGCTCGATATCCAGAAAGCAAAGACGACTAATGCCTTTATATTATACCTATGACTATTATTGTTGGAATTATTATTTACTACTCTTAAATCCATTTGGGTTTATGTTAATTTAGCATTGGTAAGGAGTTATGACTGAAAATGTAGCAAATAAATATCTTATAGCTGTTTCCGTATTTTCATCATAAACAATAGGTATTTTTTAATTCTGTATAAGTTTTACATAGCGTAAAGTGTAAGATTGCCCACAAATTGTTTTCATGTACTTCGTGAAGGTCTTCGTTTTCTGGATATCGAGCAGCAAATTCTCTACATGTTCTTGAAATTACTTTGTCACGTTTTCCATAAATCTTAGCAAACAAATTAAAATAATCCTCATTGGTATCTGTTATTTAAACGATCTTCAGGCATTTTTATTTAAATTTTCGGCAAAAATTATTGCAAACACAACAATAATTTCACAACTAACTTGACAAATGCTAAGTTATTTTAATTGTTTTTGAAGTGTTTCTGGTCATGGCCAATTTGGTAACAGGTCTGATACGAGAAAAACTGTCCAAAAAATAGAACATTGGGTGTTCCATTTAAGTTATAGCTGTTTGAAGTTATGAAAATGTTACAACAAAATGAACCACCTAGTATTAAATGTTTTAATTTGTTGGTATACCATAATTTAGTGCTACCCTTTACAGGTAAGTACCAAAAATCCAGTTGATATTACGCTCCTAAAAAGAGTTACTAGCATCTCCGCGGACTCTTGCATCTGTCAATTTTTTTCTTTAAAAATTAATATCTCGAAACATATACTTAACTCCATATTTAATAAAGTAAAGCTCAAATTTCACGTAGAATCCGAAAATGCAATAATATATAAGGTGACCCATTTAAAATAAGAAAGTTAGTGTTGACTTCTGGTATAAACGGAAGTGCCATAAAGTTCTAAATATTTTAGCTGTGTTGGCCCTACTGCCTTTGCTAGGTTGCCAAATTTTCAGATTTATAGGATCAGTGCTCTCCGAGATATCGATAGTGACGGTTCCTGGTGGGACACCCTGTATAACTTCACAGCGGAGAAAGATAAGTAAATTTCTTTTCGGTGTGTGATCGGTTATCAGATTCTTCAACCTGACCAAACTTAAGTCACCTCGCATCTCTTAAGGTGGCCATATTCCTGGCCGAGAAATAGTGAAATTTCTGGCGTTTTTAGGTAGGTACTGAAATCTTTAAAAGTAAAACGTATAGAACAAAAGTAAGCGCAAAAATAAAATCCTTGATGTTTTGTTTATTCATTGTTACTATTTAAATTTACTCAAATAAAATAATAACTAAAAAAAGCGTTTGTAAANAGATAGATGGACTAGACACTAGGCGGATGTGCTTTAGAGGCCAAAATTGAATGTTTTTTAAGATTTGTTGTATTGTCAAATAATTTAAACTTTTTACTTATCTTTTTTTAACATAAAATCCCAAACTAATGATTTGCAGCCAGGCTTCATTTTAAAAATAAAAATTCAATAATTATAAAATAATTAAAAACATCAATATTTAATAACGGAAAATGCTCCGTGAAACAAACCACACTCTCGTTCGTTGCGAGGTTTACCTTAATTACTAACAGCTAAGCTACCGTCGATGCGAGTACGAATAAACATATCCCAATGATGCATTCGAATCCAAACCGTGTCGACGACATACACCGATTCTGCATTGCCACTGTTCTCGAGTCTTGTTCTCGGATACTCATTCGGTCTCGGTCCGGTACTCGGTTCTCGGTTCTCGGATAATCATTCGATTCTTAAAAGTATTCGAGTACCGAGTTCTCGATTCTTAAAAATACTCGATTCTGCCCATCACTAAAAATGATCTACAATATTTGTTCAAAATATCTATCATTTTGCTGTGTGCATAATTCAACGTCTGTCTTAAAACAATCATCACTATTATCAAGAATTAACATCTCTGAAAGCTTGCTTCTTTGGTTTTTGAATATTTCGCATTGTTATGGGAGGCGAGAAATATACTTCACTTTTTATAATTATTCCCCACAAGAAAAGGCCAGATTAAAAATTAGGTCGGGCAGCGGCCTCTTTGGTTAATTAAAGGGCTCTATTCAATCCATTTATGTTGCAAATGCTGATGTAAAACATTTAACAATTAAATTAACATTTAAAACTGCGAATATAAGACAAAAACTATACGAAATAGTACGCGAAGCACAATGGATGGCTCCATCTGTCTGTCGTGCCGACTTCCACTATACCATTCAAATGGCTACTACGGTGGAAGCGACCTGCTAAACTTTGCCAGGTACATTGCTGCACGACTGTCGCCTAGAGGGCGACATCAATTCTAACCAATGTTGCAAGAAACAACTACACCGCGGGCTATATGCCCCCCCGGTATTGAATTACACTCGCAACACTGAATGTAACAGCTAGGATCGCTCGTCAGTTTAACCCACCAGGCACAGACCGGTTTCGGACTTATTGGTCCTCATCAGTGTGTCATAGGTAGGTCAACCGACGAACGATCCAGCTGTTATAATGTCGTAAATTCCCGACCAGTAGTACATAGTACGCGAAGCACAATGGATGGCTCCATTTGTCTGTCGTGCCGACTTCCACTATACCATTCAAATGGCTACTACGGTGGAAGCGACCTGCTAAACTTTGCCAGGTACTTTGTTGCACGACTGTCGCCTAGAGGGCGAAACCAATTCTAACCAATGTTGCAAGAAACAACTACACCGCGGGCTATATGCTATATGCCCTCCCCGGTATTGAATTACACACACTGATGAGGACCAATAAGTCCGAAACCGGTCTGTGCCTGGTGGGTTAAACTGACGAGCGATCCTAGCTGTTAAATTCAGTGTTGCGAGTGTAATTCAATATACCGGGGGCATATAGCCCGCAGTGTAGCTGTTTCTTGCAACATTGGTTAGAATTGGTGTCGCCCTCTAGGCGACAGTCATGCAACAAAGTACCTGGCAAAGTTTAGCAGGTCG